TCTCTCTCTCTCTCTCTCCATATGCTCATTTTAGTTCTAAAGTGAGTCAATGTGAATTTTAAAAGGAAAAAGGAGCAGCGTGAACTTAAGGGAGGATGCAAGTGGAGAATGGACTGCAGGGTACATGGCCAGTCTCAATATTCTGACTATCCACACATACCTGTTTATTTCTGTAGAGCTGTGAGGAAAGCTGAGCTTCTTCCCAGGAACATGAGTTCAGAATAGGAAAACTCGAATTAGAAGATGACTCTATGAGAAAATACAAAATGGGTAACATAGAAAACACACTTTTGACTTATGTGCAATGAACTCACCAAACCATTCCCAAAGTGCAATAGGTTCAATTACCTTTCTAAAAATAGCTATTGCTTCTTACAATAGAACAAAATATTTAAAGCTTTCAGAAGAAGGAAGCAAGCTGTGACAGACAAATATTTATACAATCTATGCCAAAGTTTTTAAAGAGGTGGGATTTTTTTTTCTTTTTGGAACTAAGTGGTCACATTCTTCCCTTTATATGTATATTCTTGTTGGTTAAATTAATAAAGACTCTCTCAGCTGCGTCATTAATTCATTCAAATGTTTATTAACCTTTCCCTCCCACTAGCCATAATATTGCAATCCCACTATCTTTTTATAATTTTTATTTTATTTTCTAAGCTTCAACACTTAATAATATAGTGTTTGGCTTGATAATCTAATAACATTTTTATGCTATTATTTCCCTTATTGTCTGCCTACCTGTTAAATCTAATGGATAGAATTCAGAATTTGATGTAGTAGCAATTTCTACTTTTAAATAATTTGCACCTTGTTTCTCTGAAGACCATGATAAAAATTGCAAAATTCTACCTTCTCTGTTTCAACTGTTTTCATCTGTATATTTTTTTATGCTTTTACAAAGAGTTTTTTTTCATATTTGACAGCAAGCTATGCCTGTTAATCAAAAGCATTTGGTCATGCTTAATTGGTTTTTTACTTTATTCCCCTCATTAATACCATTCTCTTTCTCTGTTCTACTTAAACTGCTGTTACTGAAGTATTTTTTATTAAAATAGAGTAATGAGTAAGAAAACAGGAATCCAATTTTATAAACAGTTTGGGTTTAGATTTTGGGCATTTTATCTTTGCTGTTGCTTATAGTAAAAAAGTAAAACTGAACAACTTTATCCATGATATGTAAGTCTGCTTCAACATTTTTAGGTTTTCATTTTTTGTGTGCCTTTCCTTAACCCCTGTGTCCACCAAAGGAGCATATGGCAAACAATAGTATAGGTATTTAATTCTAAGACATCTGAAACTTTTTAGAGAAACTTAACTATTTATACAGAAATTCACTTAATTTTATAAAAATGTTCACTAACCTTCAAGTCAAGATTAACACATCCATAATTTTCCATCAATGTTATATTTCCCTCCAACTTTGAAATCCTGTGTGTGTGTGTGTGTGTGTGTTTGTGTAAGAGAATAATTGTTTCTACTTACAAGGCATTGTCTATAGAATCTCCTCTATGAAATAAAAGATGAAGTTATTCATTCTTGTTTCTTTATCATACTTTGGAAAGTTTCCTGAATTTCAAAAAAAATGTTGTAACTAGTATCTTGACTCCAAAAACATTCTACTAGGATATTGTTTATAAAATATGACCCAGAAAATTTCTTTCAGTGAGTTGGGAATCTCCAAGTACTATAAAGTAGAGGGAGAAACATGTGTTGTCCAGCAAGAAAGAGGAAGAATCCCATTTTCACTATTTGGCAAGTACAAATAGAAGAAGTTAAGGTTGTAAAATTCAAGACTCTTTGGACTAACTTAAATTGTTTATAACATCCCTTTTCTAGAGTCCCAGACCATGATGCTTTGCAGCCACATTGCTTGAAAAGGGCTCCAGGTCTACCACTAAAGCAGAAGAGCTGAACTTACCCCGTGCCTGTGGTGCTTGTTGGGGCTCACTGTTGTCCAGGAGACCAGCAGCCCAGAAAGAGACCCAAGTCTCCGTGGAAACGTCAACACTAGTTTCTGACGGTGTAGTGGAATACGAGCAATTACAACTCTGGTCTCCTGCAAAATACTGGTCTTGGCAAGGCAGAATGGTGTTCTGTGAAATTCAGTATAAGGAGTTGGGGTGGAGGGGGGTGTCCCAGGAGATTGGGCAATGGAGATGTGGAGGGAGAGAAGGGTGGGAGAAACATAGAGAAATTACATGCAGTTAATCAAGAAACAGAGAAGGTGTTAAATTTAGATCCAGATTAAATTTTGAGTGGTTTAATTTAATAACTTAAAAGGAATCAGCTCTTATGACTTTCCTAACATTTCCACAGGTCTCTTGAACCTGTGGAAATAGACTACTATTGGATGAATAGACTACTATTGGATGAATCATATTTATATTTTCTGTTGTAATGCCTAGCTCACCTAATATGCCAGTCAGAACTATCTTAATTATATTTCTATTTCTAATCACCTTGGAAGACGAAGAACCCATTAAAAAGGATGAAAAAGCAGAATATGACATCTTATAGACTAACTTCTGAATCAATAATTGTTTTATGCTTCCCTTCCTCTTCTCCTCCAAACTAACATTCTGTTGGATCTTATGGGAATCTGAATAGAGATACACACAAACACATGCTGTGTATAATGTATATGCAAATTATATATATATAATGTATATATGTGATATGCATATATATACATACACATACATATAGTTATGTACATACATACTTGTATAATATACATACATATAGACATATACAGATATAGACATAAGTGCATATGTATATATATGTTCTCTCTCTCTCTGTTCTATAGATAATTAAATAAACTTTGTTCCTTGTAGGTGATTAAACAAACTTTGCCCCAGCTCCAGTCAGAGGAACATAACATCACTCCAAGTAAACATCTAAAAGCTGAAAGAAATAAGCAAAGACTGCAAGCTCTAGATCTATCCATCACTAGGGCTCAATGTCCTTGCAAAGTTATCCTGTCACCACTAACTGCCTGGCGTGTGTTCTCACTGTGTTCTGATCCAGGGAGTACCTTCCTGCTTGCCACTTCTCAAACCTCAAACATACACTCTTTCCAAATCTCCAAACAAGGACAAGTATGCAGCCTTCCTGGGTTAATTTGTACAACAGTCCATTCCTAATTATTTGTCAATGTTTAATCAGGTAAAAGCCATTTATTCAAGCAGAGCCTAGGTTTAGATAAACTCTTTTTGACTACTACGAATCTTTTGTTGGCTTGAGTACTTTCTTGGTCATAACATAAACAGAAGAGGGGGGGAAATGAGTCAATTAAGTCACACTTTGTTAATGTTCCCAGTGAGTTAAGTCTTGGAAAAGAAAAAGAAAAGGAAAAAAAAAAAAAACAGTTCAGAAGCAAGTGCAGCTTGGGGAGTGCAGACCAAAGAAGTTAAGCCAAAAGTTTATCAAGAGCTATTTTTCTTGTTTTCATTTTAAAAGCATGTTTGCAGACTCCTTCCTTAAGGGTATTATTGGAATCCGAGCTAAACTATTAGGCAATTGACACCTGAGAAGAAAACAAACCCCAAATACTCTTACAGTAGTTCAACTCCAAGTGTTTGCAAATATGTGCATAATCTGGAAGAAGAGGAGGAATGAAAAGTAAGTGCAGGTGAATAGGTGAAATTTGGGGGAAATATGAAGGATAAAAATAACAGGGAGAAAGGTAATGGGAAAGGAAGGGAGAAAAAGAGAGAAGACAGATGATAATAAAAAGGAGACAGGAGAGGATCTATTTTAATTGGTAGATAGCAAAGAAAGCTTGCTCCAAAAATGGAATAAATTCTCAGTGCAAAGTTTATTAACTTTCAGAGCCCCAGGTTTTGCCAGAGGACCAGCAAACGCCGGTTCCTCACTTACCATCTTGCAGTGGAAGAAAGCGCTGAAGAAACTGAGCTCACACTTAACTTTTTCTTAAAGCCAGTGGGAGCTTTAAATGGAATGAAGGGAGGAACTATGAGAGGCGAGTTCTAATCTGCGGGAGCTGGTGACGCTCGGGGTTCCTGGCGAGTGCTGCCCTCTGATTTGGTGGGAGGCTGTCAAACAGGTGACGTGAGCTTGCAGACACCAGCTGAAGCCAGAGTCACTCTCACTCTGGCGATCAGGACAGCAAGATCTGGGACCGGCGGGTCGGGCTCCCGGCCTGCTCTTGGCTACCGGGTATGCTGCGCCGCTTCAAAATGCGCGCTGGCTGCGCACCTGGCGCGGGACGTCAGAGGCTGGTGGTGGCAGCGCAGCCCTGAGGGACCCTAAGGCCAGCGCTTCCTCCTGTGCCACACGCGCAGCCAGGCAGGGCGGGGCGGAAAGTCTGCCTGGGCAATGGTGAGGGATGGCAGGTCTCAAACCTGTATTTCAGAGATGGGGTGGCACTTGTGGAATCCAGTCCTACAGCCCCAGAGCTAGTATTATGCCTATCTATCTTTTGACCACATGATAACAATGTAATGCCAACTTGTATTATGTTGTAAATTTATTTTAATTAATTTATTTTCCCTATTTGATGGACCTTATTTTGCCCAATTCTGGAAGTGGAGGTGACATATTTTAATTCTAGAATATAAATTCCCCAAGAATAGCGATTTCTGCTCACTGCTGTCTCCAAAATGCCTGGCACAATTTCTGACACATAATAAATGCTCAGTAAAGATTTGTTTTAAAGAATGAATTAAGCTACACATTTCTGAAATCTAAAGCATCTTTCTCTGTGTAGGCCTAGCCTCACAACTATATTTATATAAAATAAATTCATTAAGAAAAAATAGTGTAAGCATTTAATTTCCTCTGTCTTTTCTCTTACATTTGATTCTCACAATTCCTAAAATACTATGCCTGCCATAGAAAGAAGAGTAACAACATCTTTGAAACTATTTATCTACAACTAATAGTAGCTTCTCATTTCAATTTACCTTCTAATTAGATATAAAATACTTGATGATAGCCATAGAAGAAAGGATACTTATTGTCCTTGTTACATCTACTAAGGAAGGAAGCACTAAGGTTAAGAAAACTCACCAATGTTAACACAATTGGGAAGTGGCAGGCTTTGGATTTGAACTTCTGACTAACTACTATGCCTATGGCATTTGACTTTAACTTCTCTCTATTGCATGTTATTGCTGTTGATCAATGGGCATTGTTATGGACTGGGTTGTGTTCCCCATAAGTCATATGTTGAAGACCTATACCCAATGTTACTGTATTTCAAGACAGGTGTAGGAACTGATTCTGGCTTGCACAGCCCTTTCTCTACTCTGGCTTTGACCTTTCTTCATTCTTCTTTGTACTCTACTCATGACCCGTAGCACTCAGCAAAATGACTAGGACAGAATGGATGTTAATTAAGTACTGTATATCCAAAATTAAGAAAGGAAAGGAGAGGGAAGCTGCTTCTCTTGGAGCAGTCCTTTTTTCCTGCTTCAATGACATTTATTTGAAAAACACTTTCAGATTAATAGTAATAGGTTTGGGGATCCCTGCCTGGAATGTGGATGAACTGGATCAGTCAACACTAACTCATTTCAGTATGTGACATGAAGGACTGGTCCATCTCTGCTCTAACTGTAACAAGAAAAAAAGATGTAATGGCTGTAAGGTCCTGAGATGATGGGTAAGGAGAACATATCAAAATGTATTTAATTGGTAAGAATCAGTGATCTTTTTTAAGGCAAAGAACTGTTCATGCTTTTAGTCCTGCCAGCAACACAATCTGTTTGGCAAAACCCTCATTCATTTTGCGATGAGCAGCAGGGACAGCAAAAGGAGGATGGAGTTGTGTTTTTGGAAACTTTCACAAATGACACAGGAGCCTCTGCAAGATAGATTTTCTTTTGGCTCCCAAAATGATACAAAGTAGGTAATTGACTAAACATGGTATGCAAAAAAGGACTATAAGCTTTGAATCAAAATATACCCAGATTTAAGCTGCCATGCTATGACTGAGTCACTTGGGGTTATCTTAAGCCTCTTATTTGGGAAATTAGCATAGTAACACATACATTAGAAGTTACTTGAAAAACCAGACATTTTTATTAATGCTTAATTATTTCCTAATTTGTTGACTAAATAATGGATAGTATCTCTTTTTACTATTAGGGGTGAGGGACTCTGCCTTTGAACACACATATGCTCCTGTGTCTTGTTTATTAAAGTAACTGAAAAAGAATGCTACATTTATAAAATGAGGTTTTTGTTTTCTGAGGGTAAGACATAATTTTAAGAAGTTTTTGATTGGTTTTAAGCACAACAATATTTGGCAAATCATTAATACTTTATCTTGGTAGGTTGGGAGTATACATGATGGTGGAGAACCCCTAAACAGCAAAGAGCTATTGACAATTAAACATAAATCAGATCATAAATCTATTCTCAAATAAAAAACTAAGGGAAAAAAACTAATTATTAAGATTTGATTTATGCATGACATCTTACTTAACATCCACTACTAAGGTATAAACTTAATTGTTACTATTATGATGATGACTAGTATTTTGAAACCTGCATCCCGTAAACCATAGTGGGAAACCCTTTGACACTTATTTATCCACCTTTATGAAAGAAAGAGGTTCACATTTCTTAGTGATGTCAATGTAACCCACATAGATGGTTTTTCTTCTGCTAATAATAAGATTAGTTAAAACTGCTTTTTGTTCTGTGCCTAAAGCAATGGTGTTAAAGGGAATGTGGACCAAACAGCCAATTGTTGAATCAGGGTACCACCTCCTGTCTGGGCAAAGATATAACAAAATAAGAGGTAATTTGACCTCTTATTTTGCACAAAAAAACAAGTCTGCAGACAGAGAAGGTTAGAGCGTGAGCAGAGTTTGGTCAGGAGATAAATAGGTTGGCATATGGAATATTCTTTTGTTTAACTCCATGATTATCCCATTAGTGGATTTGATGATAAATGTAATAAACAATTTCTAAATTTTTTTCTATAAATACAGCTTTTCTCATTGATTCAATGGTTGAATCTCCAGGTAATGATAAAGATAATATTTCTTATTTCACCTGTTTGTAAAGAAAAGTATTACATTTAGATAAAGTATATTTAGAGAAGATGTTTTACATTGGAAAATTTAACATTTGAATTTTTAGAATGTCTGAAGAACCTGACATATTTCATTTGTTGAAGCATAGTTTGAATTTCACCCCTCCAGAATAATATGCAGAAATCAATAATTTTAATATAGATAGAGACTTACTACTTGCCATGTCTGCATAGTAGCCAGTATATATGCAGTAACCTATGCAGTGATAAAAACTGTTTCTACATGAACAAAAGGCATGAAAAATAGAGTCAATTGTTAATCCTGGTAACAAAAATGTAAAAAATAATAAATTTGAAAAACTTCTAGCAGTTTACCAGATAGAAAAGAGAAAGGCCTTGGATGCATTCAGGAATGAAATATTCAGTTTGGAACTGAGTCAGATCAGCTCTGTATGGAAACGTGTATGCACATGTGCACTCGTGTGTGTGTGTGTGTGTGTGTGTGTGTGTGTGTGTGTGATTTGTGATATTGTTTTATTGGAAGTTTCAGTCAGAATTTACTTTAATATCTTTATTACTACCTTCAGCTCTTTATTTATTTTATCAAGGCAAATCACATACTATAGTAATCTTCACAAGTTTAAAATATTTTCAGCCTAAGGGCATATCTTTCAAATGGTAACTATTCACTTCATCTTTGAGAGATAACTAGGAAATATATGCCAATCTGTATTCATTGCAAAGTGAGACAAACCTATTCTTTACTTGCTATCATTGCTTTCTGGCTTTTCTCATAATATAGCACTTCAAAATAACATTTGTGGCAAGTTAGAATAAATTGCTAAGGCTTCTCCTGGCTGTTGATAGTTATGGGAGTTCTCATTTCCCCCAGGTCTCACCAGGGCACCCTGAGAACAGAGGATATCATTATCTCACAGGCCTGTGACCTATTATGCGTGGGTAAAACAGTTGGGAAGGTCTGCTCCATGTGACCTATCTGGCTCAAATGGAATGAAATAATATCAGTACCACTATGAAAATATGTTCAAAACATTGAAATGAACCTTGTATTGCGACCAAGGTTATAGATGTGGAACTTCAAACAAAACAAGACAGATACATCTCATCCCCGACACTTTACTCAACCATAGTAGAAAATGATTAAAACAGGTATTAGGATTAATATACATCAGAGTTATACTAGCGCAGCTATAACTTAAAATACAATAAATCTCTGCTTCATGAGCACCAGTATCTTCACAAACTGAGCTTCTGTGCCTTCATTGCTCAAGTGATTCCTCCCAAGGATTTCTGATGCAAAGGTTTTTGGATAACTTGCTGATCAGGCAGTAAAGGCCTGAATGGTGAATCGGCAGTGACTATGACATCTAAGTGTGTCTAGAAGATGCTGAAAAAGGAAGTCAGGCTTCCTTTTTTTCAAAAAACTTAAGATTTCAATACCAAAATAGGACAACTGGTTCCTTCTAGCCTTGGAATTTTTAGCGAACCTGAAATAAGTTGACTTCTTTCATGAAAATAAGACAAATAAATGTATTTAAATACAAATGTTCAGCTATAGTAAAGGTATAATTCTGTATTTTTGTAATCTATAAAATCTGTGAAGTTAACAAATTTTTGACAAGTTCATCTTATTTACAATCAAATCAAAGAAACTTACTTGATATTGGTATTAATACAATTTGGATGTTTCTAGTCAACTTCTGTTTGCCATATTTCTTTTTTTAGAAAATGAAAGCATAATGTCAATCTATAGCCGGTGGAATCATTTATATATTCTAAAGCAATCTGTGAAAAATATAGAGAATTTTTATTGTTATGAAACTAATGCTGCTTACTAAAATTAGAATGAATTAAAGTATTATAAGATGAATTAAGTACCCTATCAACAATAAAGTAAAATTCCAAATACCCTCTATGACATGAGATAAATGATGTTTTGGTGACAGTGGTACATATAATTTTTATTTTTTCTTTATCTAACCAGAAGCCTCCCAGCTGCCACTTCTGGGTAGTATCAGCATTGCATGACTGAATCATAGCTGATGATTTTACACAAACCAATACATTTTAATAGCTTCCTTTTGGGGAAGGAAGAACTGAAAGACAAGCAAAGGGAAAAAAAAAGTGTTTTTTGTTCATGAGTACAACTGAGAAGAACTCAAATTGTATAATGTGCATCTTTTAAAAACTTTTATTTGTAACTGCTTTTATGAATTATTTGGCATTTATTAATATATCTTGATTGTATGTGCCTATTTATGTTTTTACATATATACAAATTCAGGCATCTGGAGCAGTCAGTGATACCCAAGGCCTTAAAACACTTACACCTGGAAATGTTCAGATGTTGACAAATAAAGAGTTATTCTTCAATCTTATATTTTTTATAAAGCGACAATAATTCACATAAATGCAAATTTCTTTGATTGGTGAAGGAAAGGAGCATTTGGTCCCACACTAATGTCAGTGTCTACGTGATGGGCTGTCTGCTTCTCCTGTGGAAAGTTTCAAGTAGCTCTGTGCCAGTTGGAGTTGTGTTGTACCCCCAGCATCACTCACAGTAAATTAAATTCTATATTAATAAGAAATGCATATTAGGAAGCCTATTTAAAAGTATACATGCAAGTAAAGCTTCACCATAAAGTTTTGTGTTTTAATGCTAAAGGTAACATATTTATATACAAAACAAATACATGGTCATAAAAAAGTAAAAGTAATAAGGAGAAAAACTGTAATATATTTGACATTCAGATTCAGTTTTCCATATATATATATATATAGATCACATCCCCAGCCCTTTTTATATTTTATTTAGAGACAGGGTCTTCCTAAATTGCTGAAGCTGGCTTTGAACTTATGAACATCTTACCTCAGCCTCCTGAGCCACTGGGATTACAGATATTTTAAGAACTTTAAAACATCCATCCTTTTAAGCCAGCAAGCACAAAACAAATTAATGCATGAAGCGAACAAATTTAAGCACGATTTACAACTGAGTTCATCACATCAATATAAGGGACATTTGTAAACATTAAGAAAATGTTCAAGAATATTTTTATTTTGCCGCATATGGATTTCCAGCACTATTGTTGAAGAGGTTATCTTTTCTCCACTGTTTTTGGTGCCTTTGTCTAGTATAAGATAACTATATTTATCTGGGTTTATCTCTGTGTTTTATATTCTGTACCATTGGTCTACATGTCTATTTTTGGTGCCAATACCATGCTGTTTCATTACTATAGCTTTGTATTACAGTTTAGGTCTGATATGGTGATGTCTCCTGCTTTACTCTTCTTACTAAGGATTGCTTTAGCTATTCTGGGTCTCTCATTTTTTTTCAAATGAATTTCATGATTACCTTTTCTATTTCTATAAGGAATGACATTGGAATTTTAATTGGAATCACATAGAATCTGTATAGTGCTTTCAGTAGTATGGCCAATAAGAAATTGTTTTGACAATAAAAGATTGCTTCAGTAAATTAGAGCATGTCTATAGTATGGATTGTGTATTCATTGAAAATATTTTTAAACTAAAAACCTAGAAAAATAGCATGATGTTAACTATATTGAAATGTATATGAGTGTATTAAAACAAATTTTAAAAACAGGCATAAACATAATGACATTAAAATAATGTTTCTTGTTTCATAAGTGTGATTATGATTCTATTCTTCATAATCCTGTACATTCCTGAAACTTTATATGAATGATGTTTTGCTTTTAAGGTCTTAAAAATGGAAATATATATATGAAATCACAGAATTGATTAGAAGTAATATATTTTTGTGGAGTAAAAACATGGTTAAAGCTGAGTGCCTTGAAGAGTAATGACAGATTATATTTTGTATGTTCCTACTGTTTGTTGTTGGATTTGCATGGTGAGGGGTGATTGT